TTTTTTTACATTTACTGTAAACTTGATCTCTATTAAACGGTAACCTCTATTAATCGGACGCGGTCACCCTTTTGACTTTCCCAACTGCGCATTTTTATTGCTATTTATTTCATTTATCAGCTATCTTCTCTTCAAAATTGCAATAGAAAATAATTAAGAGCTCTGGTGATTCGTATGTGCTGAAATGACTGATAAATTATTTTATGGTGAACTTGAAATTTTGTTATTGTAGAATAAAAATAAAGAATTAGAAGATCAGAAGAACGAATTAGAAGAGACATTGGCAGTCTGGAAGCCAATTAGAGCAAATGTCCAAGTTTACAGTGAATGACTTTGAGATGGAACGAAGATGCACGGAATTGGAATCCATATTTTTGAATCCGAAAGCAAAACGTTAATGCTGCAGCGAGTTTTGATTTATACCATGTATCRAAGATTACCCAAATGTGCACTTTATTTGACATGCTGTCACTCACATGATTTCCTCTGGAGACCATAATMCTTAGCGTCAAAACAATAGAATGTAACGTCAAAAGGGTGAATTAACTAAGATAAATAGAGTGAGCTAATGACTGCTTTTTTTATTGCTATTGATATTTTTTAAGTGCCAAAGTTAATGKTSAGAAAGGCGAAAGCTAAAAATAAAATCTAGAGTAAAACTAAACAATTTTACCTTTCGTTGTCAGTTTCTTAACTTAGGGAATCTTTCGGAATAACTATAGCTATCTTCTCGGAATAACGGTCGATCGGGGGATTTTATTTATAAAAGAGCTCRAAAAAGACTTATAGACAGGCTATATATTCGTTCCCTATCATGGAATCGTCTTCAATTCGATAATCATATCGATCTTTTATAATTAAAGGCATTTTAAACATGCTCGAATTCTGTCAAAAAATGAATACAGGCCTTAAATGATGTCACTGGTGCAGTAGGCCATTGTAGCTGAACGTCACGTGACCAGACCTACCTTAAATCAATCAGCCATGACAAAATGATGTTCAGAAATGTAAAGAGGGGATMAAAATGAAAAGAAGACATAGTTTCAAGTTTCAACACAAAATTAATAGTAGATATAAAATCATTTGTTTTATAAAGAAACAAATATGCAAAAACATTGCTCTTCAGCTCTATTTTCCCATACATTTCTTTAGAAAAATCAATATTTTACATTTGCTGCCATTTTTTACTGCAGTATTCACAGTACTTCAGACTTCAGACTTTGCTATTTTATCAACATGAAACTTTTCTCTTTTCATTTCTGAACATCATTTTTTGATAGATGATTGATTTAAGGTAGGTGTGGTCACATGATCCCCAGCTGAAAATCGGCCTATTTTGCTGCAAACTGAATGTATTAATTTATATCTTATTACCCTTCATGTTATCTATAAATAACATGAAAAAAACATTCTACAATAAAATTTTCTGATTTTTCACTGAATTAAGCATTGAAACCGAAGGATTCCACGCCGAACTCCTGACTCCTACTTCACATATTCGTCATTTATGACCAAAAAGAGCAAGATTTATTATGTGATATGAGATTTATTATGTGATATGAGATTTATTATGTGATACGAGATTTATTATGTGATATGAGATTCCAATGTATATCTTACCTTCTTCGGCAGTCTTTACAACAACTTCTTGACTTTTGAAAATAGGCATATCAACTTTTGCRAAGTTAAAAARCGAGGGATTTCCAAGTGTTGCCAGTACCACTACTTCATATTCAGTGCCTTTTAACAGGTTTTGAACCACCAAACTAAATTTCTTTCCATCGGTTGAGGAGACTGAAACTTTTCTACGGTGATTGTTACTAGTGTATATCACAAAGTATTTGYTGACGATTTCTTTACCTGGGTATTTATCCCAGATGACTTCGATTGATGTTGAACTTTTCGTGTAAGACAAAATTTTCCATGACTTGATGGATGGAACTAAAAATGCAAGCAAAGAATTGAAGAATAAATAGCTAAATTAAGAATAATTTTTTTGTCGGCTTAAATTGATGTCTATAAACATGATATATTATTGAAACGAACAAAAAAAAGTACTAGAACACTGTAGCAAAGCAAAATTCACCAAAGACGAACCCAGATGCAAGAGGTGGCTTACACAAATGAACCTAAGTGTAAAGACAAAAACTTTTAGAGTAGCTGACGGGACCTGTTTCTGCTAACTGTGTTCTTGTATGAATTCGTTCCTGGGAAAGGGATTTTACCGGCCATAAAATAATCATCTCATTTACGTTCAAAACGCTGAAAATGTTTAGATTTAAAAGCCCTTACCATTATAGATGCATACGACGTAAACCGGAAGTGAATTAAAACAATTAAAAAAAACAAAGGAATTGAAACGAGGCCTAAGTTCTCTGAGGGAGTTTAGATGACAAATATCAAGGGACAACATTCAACTGGATTCCAGAAAAATTGCTTGTCTGTAGAAAAAGTTCATTTTCTTGCTCAGTTTTCTTGTTAATCTCCAAAATTCTATTTTTTCAATTCCTAAGTTACTTCCAGTTTATGTCGTCAACATGAATYGATTCCATTTTCTGCATTAACTTTGATCATTCAAATGTAGAAGCCATAAACGAAATATTAGAGTAATGTGAAAAACATTTGATTTTTTTTAAACAAATGCAATACAAAGTAAAACCCTTACCATTTCCAAGTCCATTTTCAAGAATGAAAAAAGACGAGAACATGTGAGTCGACCAAAATGGTCTTGTCAAATATAGTTTTACTTCAGCAAAACCAAGTAAGATGAAAGACATAGAATGCCTTGAGCCACAAAGTCTGCCTTGTGCAGAATTTCCTTGGCGGCCTTTAATGGTCAAGTAGTAGYCCCTTACGGAAAGTAATTAACACTTAGTATTTTTTTGAATAATTATAAATTAAAATATAATTTATAATTATGTTTATGTTCATGCAGCGTTTACGTTTATAGTTTCAATGTGACAATGCTGAACTTCTCAATAGTATTGTAAACCGTATGAAATCGATTGTAGGCAGTTGTGAAAGCGCTTCAATAGGCATTTTATTCTCCGTTCAAGGGGGAGGGTAAAGAAACTTTTATTTCCATTGATTGGACGAGTCAATCGATTTCCATTCCCAACCTCAAAATTTTCACTCCGTCGCTAATTTCTGACTAGTCYCTTAGAGGTCATTCCCATTTTTTTAACATACAACATGCACAATGGCTCCTTACCAGCAATCAAAGGAAAATGGTATCTCCAGCGATTTCAGATTGAATAAGATCAGCGTGTTTGGAGTGGGTGCAACAATTTTCCAAATACAGGTTTCAGACCAAACATTAACATCCGACATTTGTATCTTGCCATGCAGTTGTCTTTCTATAGTACCTCCACATTCTGTTAAATTATGAAAAATCATAACCAAAATTTTAAGAATTCAAATGTGCCGTCATCCTAAACACAATGGCCATTCGGTTTTGTTGATATTTTATTAAGAGGTGAAATAATTYAAGTGGCAAATAAACGGATTACATCCATGTTTATTGGCTATAATTATCCATAAAATACCTATATCACGTTCGTGGTGTATCTATATATTGGACTTAAATAAAATTGTTCAGTTATTGCACCATAATTTGCTTTCATAGGTAATTATGCAATCTTATGACATACACTGTAAAAAATCGCGCTTTAAAGGTTGTAAATTTGATGTAAATGTCATGTAAGTGTCCAACATTCTTTAAATTTAATGAAAATCATTTACATCAAATTTACAGAATTTTGGACATTTACATCAAATTTACAACCTTTAAGGCGCGCGATTTTTTACAGTGTATACACGCGCMTTTTCATGAATGCAGTTATATAAATACAACAACAATAATAACAAAAAATTCGAAAGATAAAAATTTGAATTTGGATAGGCAAAAATTAGGTTCCCCTTTTGCCTAAGCCTTACTTGTTGAAAAATGATAATAGTCTTGATATGGTCCTCTTCCAGCTGCAGTGTAGCCTTTAATTTTCACTCTATATCTGCTCGCAGGTAAAAGATCCCTAAATACCACCGATGGAACATTGGTTCTTATTTTTTTGTAATAAGTGCTAGTGGAATAACTGTAGAGTTGTACAGTATATCCAAGAGTATATTTTCCGTGGAGTGGCTTCCAACTAATAGCTGCTGTATTTGGTGTGATATCAGTGCTGTAATCTCTTTGAGGAACAATGGTACTTGGGGCTATGAAACAAAGAAAGCATGATCAAGTAATAAAATCAGAACAAGGCAATGATCTTTCAATATACCTAAAGAGTCCTGTGCAAGGTAAAAAAGAAGAAAAATTGGAAAATGAAGAACATTTAAGGTGGGCATGCTAAGGGAAAATAGCAGCGTATAAAAAAACAAGCGTGGGAAGATTCGAGGAAAAACAACACCATCAACAACACCATCAACAACAACAACAACAACATATTAAGGACAAAACTATATCAAAATTATAATGATATTGAATTAATTTAAAACAAAGAACCTACGTAATTCAGAAGTAGTTATTGACGCYATTRAACTCTTGTATGTCGTATATGTCCCAGTCTCCTGATTTTTTAACATCACCAACAMGTACACGTCATAGTTAGTGTACCCGATCAGCCCATTACAAGTCGCAGAAGTTGAACTGTTTYCTMCAAACGCGTAAACKGCTTCGTTAGCCCAATCTTSTGTTGAATTGCAAGTAATCAAAAATCCTATAATATCATAGCCTTTAACATTAACTTGAGTCCAATTTGCAGTGATTCYKTCATWGTTGGAGCTCGAGAGTGATATGGTCCAATTGTTCAGAAGAGGAACTATAAAAGAGCAGGTTATAAAAATGTGTTATGACAAGACATGAAATACAAGGCTGATTTGAATGCAATAACAAGACGGTCGCTTATTCCGTTATTTTTGGAAGCAGGATTTATGCGACAACACTTATTGTTAATGGGAAGCTTCCGAGATTCTTTTCAGGAGACGGCGATTTCTACCATTTGTCGTTTTTACGAATGCTGGTTAAAGTTAACAGCGGATAGAGTTAGTCCCTTTATAGATTTTGTATGGGATTTTATAAGATAAGATAAGAATTTATCTGATCCATAGCGCTACTCATCCTACAACCAGCACAAGACCACATGTTTCATCAAAAAAAATTCCTATCGTTTTTTTAAATCTCTATTAATGTTAGATTTATTTTTTATAGCCTTCTATTTAAAGTCCCCGTGACGCCTRCCAAAATAATTTCTGATTCTAATCTTCCAACTATACCAGCTTTGAAACAGKCGCTCAAAAATGTTTTCATGAGCGCCATCTGGAAATATGGTTATTCCCAACATCGCATACGATAAATGTAATGCCRTGAAATCATTTTTATGCGACTCCATTAAAGTATCAGTTGAAGTATCGAAAGTACCCACAATGATGAACAACATCTTTAAGAGTACAATAAACAGGTTATTTGTCCTGTGTTACTTATACACCTCGCGTCACTTAATATATGAGAATGGACAACACAAAAGCACAAAATATATAAATTCTATAGCTTGAATAATTTGTAAATATCAATTTTATCATTTATATTAGAATTTGTAATTATTACTTGTTAATTCAGTTCCCTGAACTGCAAGAGAGTACTAATAAACTATTATTATTATTATTATTAAAGGGGATCAAAGAATTAAGACTCTTTTGATGCAGCGAGTGAATAGATTGCGTTAACTTGGAAGACTGGATGTTTCCGCCAGAGACAAGACCCCTTTTGTGATGTACTATCTCCTATATTTTTCAATACATACAGTCAATCACATTAACGTTCTTCATTAGAAATGACATTTAGACAACAACAAATTCATTTGCATAATTTTTTTTTTTTTTTAATTTCCCAGGAAAACTTCTAATTCTATGCGTTAGATAAATAGCGAATTAAAGACGTTTTGGAGCTTTATGTCAAATATTCTTGCTAAAAAATTGAAAACACGATATATGCAAATGACACGTCGACACAGTCGCGCGACTTAGTTCTGTAGAGAACATGTTTGTTTCATTTCTCTTTCTCTACATATTAATATTTTTTTTTCAATACATATACATTAGACAATTTTGCTTACCTGGTTCATTATAGATAAAGTACTTCACTCGCATTCCCTTGCCATACTGCCTATTAATAATTCGACGAGTTGAAAAAGATGAGTAGAAATGAAGTTTTCTTGGTAAACTCAGCACGGTAGTCAGTCCATGATACACTGTAAGTGAATTCGAATTCTGGATGTAGACTTTGCTGTTACTATAAAGAAACAACGCAAGACATAACATTAGTATCTGCCGAAGTGCGAAGTGCTCACAGGTTAGGGACTGCGCAATATTCAGGAGTTGTTGTAAATCGTGCAACGCTTTTCTTCAGAAGTACTCGAATCTGACACCGTTGATTTTATAAATTCCATTAAAGTTCTCGTTAATTTTAGACGTTAATTTTAGATGTTCATCCCCCCTTGGATTCTCCCCCTCCGAATAGATAACATAGAGTCCCTTATTATGCTGAATAACGTGAAAAATAACCAATTTGATAAACTTTAGAAATAATGCACGCAATCTATTGAAAGTATACAAAGAAAATTTTTGATTTGTATGCATGGTCTTCCAATTAAAACAAAAGACAAAGTCAAGAAAACGAGCTTGAAATATGAAATATGATCAAAATAAACAATTACTATCAGCCCCCGCGCTTTACGTCGAACTTCACATTTGCCGAATACAACTGTACTCCTATTTTAGTCGACTTGAATGATTTTATACGGCATTTGATTTAGACGCCGAATTCTAAGTGACAAATTTAATGATTCCCTATTCCCTCTTGGGTCAAAAAAAAAATCACAATAAAACTCACTTTTCCATGTCAGTGTTCAGAGCGTGCGTAATAGCTTATAGTACTTTACCCTTCATATCGCTGCAAATCTAGTACATCAAAATAGAGAGCCACTCGTCCACGTGTCAAATTTGTCATGAATGTCCAGCGGTAATCGGCTTTGGTCATGGATGATGGATATCCAGGGCTTGTAATAACACC